AAGTTTTAGAAAAATACAAACTCCTCTACATCCTATTTAAATTGGATCAGGACATATGTAAAGTATAAATTGGATCATATCAGGACAAACTCCTCTAATTGGAGAGAGGTAAAGTTGTTCTCTTTCTCTAGAAAATATTAAATTTCGGGTTTGGGGTTCCATTTGTTTGTGTTTTTTTTGCTAGGAACAAAGAAAATTACGGGGTTTAAATAGAAAATCTCTTTTATTTCTTATTTTTTTAGTTTGGGGTGTATTTAAGAGTAGTTTGGGAAGATAGTGGGGTTTTCTTAGAAATTGTGAAAATTTAAATTAAAAGATGGGGTGAACTAAGAGAAGTGTTTCATGCACTTGCGAGTATCACAAGTTGAGGATGCAACTGAATCCATTTTGGTGCAGCTGTATCTACACAACAAAGGATATCCATGTTCGAGTTCGACTGCTCGCGTATCATTTCATCGATGAAAACCTTGTACGATTGGGTAACTGCTCATTTTCTATTTAAACCCCGCACTTCTCTTTGTTCATCCCAATACCTAAATCATTAAGCTGTAAGTTTTATTATTGTGTAAAAAGACAAAAAAGGTCATTCAACTTAATAATTAACCCTAGTACATCTATACACAACCCCCCCCCCCCTAATCACTCTTTATATTAAGGAGGGTGTATTCAATTTAGATTTTAAATGATTTTAAAAGAGTTATAAAGTTGATGGAGTTTAATTGAATTTAATTGAGTTTGACTGAAGTGGGGGAGGTAGTGGTGGAGGAGGAGGGGGTGGTAGTGGTGGTGGCAGTGGGAGTGAGGTGGTGGAGGAGGTGGGGGTGATAGTGATTGTGGTGGTGGTAGTGGTGGCGACGACGACAATGACTGTGGTGGTGGTAGTGGTGGTGGTGACGATGATGACTGTTGTGGTGGTGATGGTGGTGGCGGCGATGATGATGATTGTGGTGGTGGTGGAGGCGGGGGTGGCTATGGTGATAGTCATGATAGATGGTGGTAGTAGAAGTGGTGAAATCATATCTTGAGAATAAAAATAATATCTATCAAAATCTCGGGGGGTAAGCAAAGATTTGTCATAGCCTAAAATTAATCTATTACCAAACGAAATCCACTACTTTTTGTATTTCCTTTCAAATCAATGAGTTTTTTAATACACCCAAACTTTTATGAAGTCTTTTAAAGTCGTGATTGAATACATCCAAATTTGAATGGAGTTTAAAAAGTCTGAATTGAATACACCCAGAATTGAATAAACTTCTATAAAATCGTGATTGAATACACCTAAACTTTTAAACTTCTTTAAAATCTTTTAAAATCTAAATTGAATACACCCCCCTAAGTTTTAGAAAAATACAAACTCCTCTACATCCTATTTAAATTGGATCAGGACATATGTAAAGTATAAATTGGATCATATCAGGACAAACTCCTCTAATTGGAGAGAGGTAAAGTTGTTCTCTTTCTCTAGAAAATATTAAATTTCGGGTTTGGGGTTCCATTTGTTTGTGTTTTTTTTGCTAGGAACAAAGAAAATTACGGGGTTTAAATAGAAAATCTCTTTTATTTCTTATTTTTTTAGTTTGGGGTGTATTTAAGAGTAGTTTGGGAAGATAGTGGGGTTTTCTTAGAAATTGTGAAAATTTAAATTAAAAGATGGGGTGAACTAAGAGAAGTGTGGGGTTTAAATAGAAAATCTCTAAAATTTTACATTTAATTGGAAGGGATTAAAATTAGTTGTAACTTGTAAACCCAATTCAATAGGGCTGGGCACGGTATGAGATGACACGGGATGGAGGTCATCCCGGTGTCAATCCCGAATAGGGGAATTGGAATGGGATGACATGGGATGAGAGTTTTTGAAAACACGTTCAAACCATACCGAACCCGAATGGGATCGGTATGATTCTATATCAATGTTGATACCGTAAAAAATCTGCAACAGATGATGTATCAAGTGAAGACTGACAATGAATGGACATAGTTGAAAGAGATTCATCATATTCAAGAGTTAAAAAATAAGTCATAATTCAAGGCTTTGCTTGATCACTACTAATTTCCAATATCTTTGAAAATAAAATAAATTACTTTCCACCTTAATAATTAGAGTGGGAGGGGTGAAAAATTCTGTTATATATTATGCCTTGTTCAATTAGGACATATGAAGAACAAGGCACAACCTTCTCAACCTGCTAAGCTTGATTTAATTGCTCATGTAGAAATGAGTGTCGATGATGGTTTGTGGGGGAGGTAGTGGTGGAGGAGGAGGGGGTGGTAGTGGTGGTGGCAGTGGGAGTGAGGTGGTGGAGGAGGTGGGGGTGATAGTGATTGTGGTGGTGGTAGTGGTGGCGACGACGACAATGACTGTGGTGGTGGTAGTGGTGGTGGTGACGATGATGACTGTTGTGGTGGTGATGGTGGTGGCGGCGATGATGATGATTGTGGTGGTGGTGGAGGCGGGGGTGGCTATGGTGATAGTCATGATAGATGGTGGTAGTAGAAGTGGTGAAATCATATCTTGAGAATAAAAATAATATCTATCAAAATCTCTGGGGGTAAGCAAAGATTTGTCATAGCCTAAAATTAATCTATTACCAAACGAAATCCACTACTTTTTGTATTTCCTTTCAAATCAATGAGTTTTTTAATACACCCAAACTTTTATGAAGTCTTTTAAAGTCGTGATTGAATACATCCAAATTTGAATGGAGTTTAAAAAAACTCCTCTAATTGGAGAGAGGTAAAGTTGTTCTCTTTCTCTAGAAAATATTAAATTTCGGGTTTGGGGTTCCATTTGTTTGTGTTTTTTTTGCTAGGAACAAAGAAAATTACGGGGTTTAAATAGAAAATCTCTTTTATTTCTTATTTTTTTAGTTTGGGGTGTATTTAAGAGTAGTTTGGGAAGATAGTGGGGTTTTCTTAGAAATTGTGAAAATTTAAATTAAAAGATGGGGTGAACTAAGAGAAGTGTGGGGTTTAAATAGAAAATCTCTAAAATTTTACATTTAATTGGAAGGGATTAAAATTAGTTGTAACTTGTAAACCCAATTCAATAGGGCTGGGCACGGTATGAGATGACACGGGATGGAGGTCATCCCGGTGTCAATCCCGAATAGGGGAATTGGAATGGGATGACATGGGATGAGAGTTTTTGAAAACACGTTCAAACCATACCGAACCCGAATGGGATCGGTATGATTCTATATCAATGTTGATACCGTAAAAAATCTGCAACAGATGATGTATCAAGTGAAGACTGACAATGAATGGACATAGTTGAAAGAGATTCATCATATTCAAGAGTTAAAAAATAAGTCATAATTCAAGGCTTTGCTTGATCACTACTAATTTCCAATATCTTTGAAAATAAAATAAATTACTTTCCACCTTAATAATTAGAGTGGGAGGGGTGAAAAATTCTGTTATATATTATGCCTTGTTCAATTAGGACATATGAAGAACAAGGCACAACCTTCTCAACCTGCTAAGCTTGATTTATTTGCTCATGCAGAAATGGAAAAAAGAAATGGAGATTTCTGGTGGAAAGGGAATCAATATGGCATGTGCCGTGATTTGGAAAAAGAAAAACAATTGAAATATGGAATTCAAGAAACTAGATGGGATAAAATAGCAATGGTGAGTGAGTGAGTCACTCAGAAATGTCCTTTAACAACCAGAGATATCTAACTCTATTTAGAAACCATGGTGGGGCTCTTTTATTACCTTCATTTTTTTTATCAGATGCTAACATGAGTGCTAAATTTCACAAAGAAAACTCTAATGCAAACGTTAAAACTAAAGCTGGACAGATTGTGATTTGTATTTTGGATCCATTTAAGGTTCATCTTTTTGTGAGGATTAATTAAATTAAATTAAATTAGGGGTGGAACTAAAATTAAATTAGGATTAATAAAACTAATTTACTGTTCAGTACGGTATGACACCAATCGGGATCACAAATGTGGAACCAATGTCGTGCCAAACAGTAACGGGATGACACGATATCATCCCGTTTACACGTCTACACCAAACGGGACGGCACGAGATTGGCACGGTTTGGCACGGTTTCGGGATGATTTCGGTATTCCGATTTTGATGCCCACCCCTACAATTCAACATCAATTTTGCCCCCAACGTGGCATCTAATTTTGTTTTTGGTCAATAAAATTTCATAATCCAACTGGGCTTTGAGACATGCTGAAAAATATGAGTAATGACTCAACGGTCCAGGCCCAAACATTTTAAAATCTACAATCGGAATACCTCCGCCGTTTGATTATCAAAGAATAACAGCAAAGATTATGAAGACTAATCCCCATCCAACGGTGGAGATGGCGATATAGATGCTTATCTAGAACTAGCAGATCCCTTATCCTACGCGCACTTTCTGTACCCCTGTTCCCCTTCAGTCTCATGGCAGCTGAGTTACAGCCACTGGAAGCTCCAATCACCGCCGGCCCAGCAATTACAACGACAACAACAACCCAACCGATAAATACAACCACCACAGCAACTGCCATAACGGCAATAGCAGCAACGACAACGGCCCTACCTTCCACCGAGCACCAAGGCCCCCAATTGGGCCCCAAACGGCAGCGCCGGCCCAGCGTCCGATTAGGCGAGATCGGCGACCAACCCGCCGCCACTGTCTCCTTCGACTCACACATGCGACGAGCCAAGCACACCTGGAGGCTCCCCAAGGACTCCAAATCGGTCAAGGCTCGCTCCATCACCAACCTCGTCAACGGCAACGACTCCAATGAAACAACGCCGCCCGAGGAGAGGAACCAAAACGGCGACGGAGGGTTCGAGTTTGGGAACCGGAGAATTAAAGCGAAGCGAGCCACTGGGACCAAGAGGGTCCGATCGAATTGGGCGTCGAATTCGAAGCTTGATGACGGCGGCGACAGCCGGGAGGACGGTGGAGAGTGGTTCAGCGCGGATCCCGATCAGGATAGTCCAGTGAGGGACAGTAGTCCGGTGAACTCGGGGGACGACGCGGGGCAGGATTTGTGGGAGGGGCAGAGGAGGGTGGCGGGAAATTGGGCTAGGGTTTCGGAGAGCAGGGAAAACGACGCCGTTGAGGCGGATAATATGCCGGAGTCGAATTGGAGCGGAGTGAGGTCGTGGCTGATAGAATTGGGGTTGAGTCGGTACACGCCGGTGTTCGAGATACACGAAGTGGACGACGAGGTGTTGCCAATGCTGACTCTGGAGGATCTTAAGGACATGGGCATAAACGCCGTCGGTTCGAGGCGCAAAATGTACTCTGCCATTCAGAAGCTTCGCAAGGGGTTCTCGTGAGTCTGGCTTTCCTTTTTAATTTTGTCTACTTTTTTTATTGTTTAGCAGAATAGTGTTTTAGTTTCTATTCTTCGCCTTTTTTTTCCTTTTTTAAATCTTTCACAGTAACATGATAACAAGAATAATCCTAGTTTGTGTTGTAGTTTTGCAGTAAGATAGCTGTTTGTCCATTTTTTGTATTTTAATTGTTGTTTCCCATTAAAGCAATTTGAATTTGCTTCAGTTGAGCTAGAGTTTCTACTTGTAGTTTATTGATGTAACATAACCATATTTCGATATGAATAAAGTTTACTTTGTTGGAACAGATGTTGATTTCATCTCTCTATGTGTGATGCCCTTTGCTTCTTGCATTTATTGCTTGACATCAATACTCGAAATAATAGGGAAACGAAAAGTATAGTTTTGGAAGATTATAAATGCATTCTAACTCAAACTTTCTGTTGTTCTATCTGTGACTGCTAACTGTCACTGTTGCTTGTATGAAAGCACTAGTGCCATGAAGTATGTTCCTAGATTTTCTAGAAGCATGTTATGACTTAATGCGGCGTGGCAGTTTGGTTTTTGTTGGTTAAAAATATACAGTACTCAGGTGATAGGATTGCTATAGTGAAATTGCTTTTAGGCTCCATCTTTGTTTTCTTCAGGAAGGCTTCATACTGTTTGTAAACTGGTAACTAAAATAGTGGTCGTTTAAATGCTAATTATAATATACTCATTAGACAATAGTTTGGGGGATGGGATAGTGTCGTTTCTTGAAGAAATTCATGGCTATATAGTAATAATGGAGCGTTTTTAGTCTACGAATTAAAGTGTTGAATAGGAATGAATCATCTGGAAGGAAATCAGTGAGGTAGGAACCAACCCTTCCCTTGAATAATGTATCTGAAATTTGAAATCTTTAAGTAATGAATATCAGATGGTTCACTTGATTCTAAGCACTTCACGGGGTGTTATTGCTCATGTGTTAAGAAGGGTGCTGAGAGGATTGGATCGGAGCAACTCAAGCTAATGCTGTGTTGTATTGTTTTTATTTGGCAAGAACTCAATCTAGGACCTAACCCCACCCCTGTACAACTTAAAAGAAAGCATTATAACTGGTTGTGAATGCGTTCTTCTTTGTTTTGTGTCTGAGGATTGGTCATTGACATTGGACTACTTTAGAAATCTCATGCATGATCCTGGAGCAAAGGAAATGTAGTTCTATGAACTATAAAAATGGATATGAAAATCTTCAATAGATAGTTGGGTGGTCATGCAATTCACACAGAACTTGCATGTTCTTGGCTGCATGATGCTGCAGAAGTTGGTTTCTTTAAATGAGTGCAGCTGGTGAAATTTGGGGATTTGGGAAACTGTTGCATTTCTAACCTTCAGAGAGTTCGGAAAATAAGGGGTGTATAATGCAGTAATAGGGGGATTTATCGAACTTTTCCGATCTTTTTATCATCTGTAATATTTTTGGGATGTTTCTCAACTCTGGCCCAATCGTTGTAAACTTGTAATTTGTCTCACTATTGGCATGTTTCATAGTTGCTCTAAAATTTTGACCCGTTTAAAGTTCATTGTTCCACAACATGATCTGGATGATTAAATTTCTTCTTGTTTGGCCTTGTTAATCTTGTGACCTGGTTTTCATTTCATAGGAAGCTCAGCCTTACTGAAAGCTAGCTGATGAACATACTTTCTGTAGGATTCAGCTGCCAAAAGCAGTCGGTTGATAGGATGTAGTTACTGACTAGGAACTGGTGGAGGAAAATATTATGTACTCATCTCGGCGTTGACTTTGAGGCCATGACAATGTTTAGAATGTCATGATTGGTCATGGTTATCCAACGACCCCAGGTTTCTTGACATTTCTGAATTCTGAAGTCCCAAGCCAGTTGACTACAACCTTCACTTCCTAGGTAATCTAACAAGTAAGCCTTGCCTGCGTCTTTCATGAAGTTGCAATAACTTTGTTTTGTCCGAGTAATCCATGACTTTTAGGATCCCTTTTGACCCTCTTTCATCCCCGGTTACACACCGAAAATTTTGAGTTGGTGCTATGTGGTGGGTCTTTGCTGTTTGAGAACATATACAAGAACATTCACAAGAAATGATGCCGATCGGCAAACCGCAAAACCACAACGATTTGAAGCTCTGAGTAAATGAAAACCTGTTCTCGTGCACGTTGGTTGTGTGTTTTCGAAGGCCCCATATGACGTATTCAGTAGTTTGATTATATTCAATATTCATATCCTAGCCCAAATCATTTAATATTCATATCCTAGCCCAACTCAAAGGCCAATTTTAGCTCGGCTTTTAGAAAGGATGGGTTTGTGGCTGCTCAAATCGAATTGGATCCACAATTTCAGTTTTCTTAGCCCATTAATGAAACCGGGTTTAGTGGGTCGCGGAAAGGCTAGAATGAGGAGGTTATTTGAGGAGGTGAAATCTCACCATCAACAACAAAAAACAAAGCACATGGTGGGGGGGGGGGCGGCATTGGGGGCTCCACACCCCTTTTGATGGTGAGATGGGCATCCTCAAATAAACTCCTCAAATAGCATCCTCATTATAGAAGCTCCCGGTCGCGGAAAGGCCTAGTGGTCGGATTTTGGCATTTTGCTGCCCAAAAATGTAGTTTATATAATGCAGAAATTCTCTCTTGAGGACCATTATTTGAGTGCAATAAATGAGGACACAAAATTCAGTCGTTAGATCATATGAACAGTTGAGAACAAATTTTCCCCTTAACTTACAATCGGTTAGGTAAAGAACTCAAATTTGAAATTAATACCCAACAAAGGTTGAACATGTTTGACACCCACGAGGTTGAAGTTTGAACACAAAAACCCATAGCACTAAGCAAAATAGCTAAACTAATTCGGAATCTAGCTTAACCAAGGTTGAAGGCAACTTTGTTCCCTAAACCCTGAAAAATTAGTTAGTTTGAGTGGAAGGGGCAAAGTCATGGAAGGAGTGAAGCTGTATTCCCTAGAGCACAATTGTGGTTCTTCCATTTCGGAAGTGATATGTGTGAATATTCCATTTCGGGAGCAAAGCCCTGATTGTTCAAGTTGAACCAGCATTTGGTAATCTGTAAGTAATTTAGTGGAATTTCAGTTTAGGGTTAAAGTATGGTTTCCCCCTATTTTTTACGGTCAATGGTGTTTTGATTTCACATTCCGTGTTTGTGGTTCACTTGCATTTTAGTTTTTACTTGGGTATGTGTAAAATAATCGAATGAACATCAGGTCAATAAAATATTAGTAATACGCATTTAAAAAATAACAAATTGTCAATAATGAAAGGAACAAGATAATCTTTGATGATGTTAAAGCCGATGAGATTTATCAGTAATCCCTATGCGCATCTATTTCGTCAATTTTGTAATGTGTTAATGTAATGCAATCGCTTTGTAATGTAACTGGGGCAATCACTAGTAGGTAAGAAACTCAAGAAAATAGATAGATAAGTACCTTGAGGAATCGAACCACAAACCACATGCCTGACCATGTAGTAGAGGGTAGACATTTGATTAATCAGAAAATATGGGGATAAATCGACATCAAAAACTGGCTTCATAAGAAAAGAAACAACGATAATAAATTTATTTATTATATTGTCTGATTAAGGATCCATTACACTTGATTAATCATGTTTTTCTTTTGGTTAAAATCTGTTTGGATAAGGTACCTGGAAGTAAGTGCAAATACTAATATGATTATGCGTTGGAGATTTTTTTTTTATATATATGTTTTTTGCACATACCTTAGCCCATATATGATTTTCATGGTATTATGTGCATTATATGAAGTCTTGATGTAATTATAGGTATATATATACACACACCATTAGAATACCCAGAAACAGATTTGTATTTGAGTTGCAGTATACGTTTTCTACTAGCTAATTGCTACATTATTAGTAGACCACAAAATGTTGGTTTGCTTCAATAGTCTTGGGAATATAAAGCTCATTCAAGTTTATCAAGTATATTGTATTCTTTGACATGTGTTCTAAAAATTTAGATACATTTACCATGTTAATTGAAGGAAAACCTTCATGCAATATCATCAATCAAACCCTTATTAAAAATATCCATTTCTGAATATATATATATATATATATATATATATATATATCTATATATATATATATATATATATATATATATATATATATATATATATATATATATATATATATATATATATATATATATATATATATATATATATATATATATATATATATATATATATATATATATATATATATATATATATATATATATATATATATATATATATATATATATATATATATATATATATATATATATATATATATATATATATATATATATATATATATATATATATATATATATATATATATATATATATATATATATATATATATATATATATATATATATATATATATATATATATATATATATATATATATATATATATATATATATATATATATATATATATATATATATATATATATATATATATATATATATATATATATATATATATATATATATATATATATATATATATATATATATATATATATATATATATATATATATATATATATATATATATATATATATATATATATATATATATATATATATATATATATATATATATATATATATATATATATATATATATATATATATATATATCTATATGTGCTCACGTTGTTTTATCTTGTATTTGTGCAATGAGATCCAACGTGCAGCTAGTATGACCAGAATAAAAGGCATATGTCTCACGGGTGAACAACTGCTCACATGCAAATTTATGCCTAGCTACAATTCGATCGAAGTTTACGGAAGAACAATTAGAGCAATTCAACAAATCATGTTTTGGTCATCTTGCAAATATTGATAAGATTCAGTTTAGCAGGCAAATTGTGCATGGGATTGTCTTGCGTCAAGTCGTGGGGCGAGGTGTGAAAGACTTGGATGGACTAAGTGTTGCGTCTACCCAAGTGCAAGTAGTCACACATAGTAATAATCTTGGAAGTCCAAGTATCGTATCCTCAAGGAGCAGATAGGCAAATCTCTGCACACAAAGAAATAATTAAACGTACCAAAATAAAAGTGACAAGCAAAATGGACAAGTAATTTGATATGATTGTTGTAGAGATTGAGTTTAAAAATGAAATATCAATAATGGAAATGCTAAGGCATCAAGGTTCAATTCTTTAAGCAAAATATGTTTCATGCTTTTAATCCAAA